GATTCTATAAAAGAATATAGGTAGAAAGAAGGAAAGAAGTAGGAAGAGGAAGAGAGAAGTGGGAAGAAGGAAGGAAGGAAGAAGAAAGAAAGAGAGAGAGAGAAAGAAAGAAAGAAAGAAAGAAAGAAAGAGAAAGAAAGAAAGAAAGAAAGAAAGAAAGAAAGAAAGAAAGAAAGAAAGAAAAGGGAGTGAGAGAGAAAGAGAAAGAGAAAGAGAAGGAAAAGTAAGGCAGCAAGGGAAGGAAAGAAGACACAGAGAGAAGTCGGGGAGGGGAAGAGGAAACTTTCCCCGGAATTTAGTCCTATTTTTTCTGCTATTAGAATGAACTGGTTTTGTGTTATTAATAGGCACAAACAGCTTTTACTAGTATCACTCCCATGTCACAATGTGTTGACACATTATGTATTTTCTAACGCATTTGGAATTCTAGGTTTCCCTAGTGAATCTCAGTATCTCAGAGGATGAAAACAAATCTGAACACTGTCAGAAACATCCAAATGTGCGCTAATTTGGAAACTCACTGGACTACCCAATTGTCTTGGTATGTCCAATGTATAACAAGAAATAAATAGTTTTTTAAAAATTTTGTACTTCTTACTACTTGACTTTCCTTTTTGGCACATTGCTGTGGTGTTTCTAATACCTTTTGTTTCCTGGGTCACCTAATCAAAATAACTTATTTAGTAAAAAACTTTAAAAGATACAGACACTAGAAAAGAAAAAACTAGATTGTATCATAAAGATTATAATATATTATATTAACATATTATTAATCACTGTTAAAATTGTGCACTGTTTATTGCTCTATTTGTAGAACTATATATATATAGAGAGAGAGAGAGAGAGAAATTTTTAAATTAACATATTATTAAATATAACCTGAAGATCTCATTTTCACTAACTATATTCTAGTCAGTATTTGTATTTACTATTTCTCTATGGTTTGGTATTTGATTTGTTTTCCTTTTTCCCTTACGTTTCCCAAATACATTCTTAAACACAAAAAGTCTCGACTTTTATTATTTCCATAGCAAAGTTTCCCTACAATTTAAACAATGTAATCTAAATACTTTTTTTTTAAGTCAAATACTTTGTAATTCTGCCTTATTGGCAGGACATACATTGAAAGACTGCCAGTGTATGCCAGAAGAGCAGAAATAGGACCAAACTTTACATACTACATGTTCTTTTATACTTATATATCTATGATGAATTTTAATTTATAAATTAGAAAAATTAAGAGATTTTCAGCTTTAACTAATAATAAAAAACAAATTACATCTGAATGAAGCTCACACTACCTAATCTCAGTCTTTCTTCACTCCAGACTTGCAAGAAATACAGGTTGCTTAAGACAACTCAGTCATTAATACTTATTGCAGCTAATGCACAGGGTAGGGTTAATATTAAATTTACGCTAAGTGTAGTCATTTTACAAATACTATTCTCGGCTTCTTCTCCCTCATTCATTTATGATGAATTCTAAATTATATTAGCTTTTTTCAGTGCTTTGATTTGTCTTAGAGAATTTTATGTTACTCTAACAACATCACATAGATTGCACAATTAATGAAGAAAACATTTATTTACTCACAGTTGTGGAAACTAGAAAGCCTAAGAATAAAATGCCAGTAGATTTAGTGTTGGTTGAAGGTCCAATGTCGAGTTCCATTATGATGCCTTTAATACTGCTCTTCATATGTCCAAAAAGTGCAAGGGGAAGGATCCACTAGCACAGTTTTATTATAGGGAAATTAATTCATTCGTGAAGACAGGGACTTCAAAATGAAAATACCCTCCAAAAAGATTCAGATCTTATTACTTGGGAATTAAGATTTCAATGCATGAATTTGAAAGAATACGTGCAAACTGCAGTAATTACACAGTGCCACACGTATCCCATGTGACTGGAAAATGCTGAGCATATTTCATTTATAAATAGAAGACACACTGCCATGAGTTCCCCTCGCAACACTTCCCCTCGCTTTGAACACACGTCCTGCAGTTTTTGAGACTTTCTAGTTCTCTGCGGTGACTGTCTGTCTTTAGCTTTGCTGTCATGCTTGCAACATTGAATGGCCTGATCCAATTCAAAATATTGACCTTCCGACGTCATTTTAACCTTAGGGAAGAGTCAAAACTTGCACAGTGCCAAATCCAATGAATAAAATGAGTGAAGCACTGTAATGAATTTTACAAGCCTGCCTCTCCATGGGATGGCTCCTGACAGCAGCATTCACGGAGACACAGATTCTTCCAGAATTGCTTCAGGAAGTGGCAAGAAAGATGGAAAAAGTGGCGCATGATTCAAGTGAGGGTGATTATTCTGAGAGGTTAGTGGCAGTATGTTTTTTATTGTAATATATATTCTTAATGTAAAATTTCTATATACGTTTCCAAATATACTTATTAAAATTAAATAAAAATAGTGGTCATGTTATTGTCAGTATATGAGATTGTTTCAACTACAGGTGATTTAAGATTTTGTCCAGCAATAAAATAAAAATATTGGTCTGTAATATAAATGTATATTGTTGTTGTTTTGTGTTTTTTTTTGTACCGGGGATTGAACACGGGTCATTGCACTTGCAAGGCAGGCCACTGAACAGCTGCAGGGGGTGAAGAAAGGGCAGGGACAAGGGGAAAAAATGAGAACCAAGACCTGTCATGTAAAGGTACAGGATCCCAGTAATGAATGTAACTGTACTGTGTACCTAGAATGTACCGATAAACTCAATAAAACAAGTAAATAATAATATGATATATAAACAGGAAGAAATTAAATACTCATATATGAAATATGTATATTTCATAAATTCAGAAACTTTGGTGATAACCAGTGTGTGTGTGTGTGTGTGTGTGTGTGTGTGTGTGTGTAAATTTGGGTTTGGTCTCTCCAGAAGAATGGAATCAATAGAATATATATATATATGTAATTTTGGAAGGGATTTATTAGTTAGGTTTGTAGGTTTAAAACCAGGAGAGTTCACAGTGACTTTGTGCACACTGGAGTGTGGGAAAATCCAATGGCTGGGAGAAATTCAGTCCAAGGAGCTGAAAACTGAAAAGCAAAAGGGATCAAGGATGCAGCACTAGTCTGAGACTGAAGCCCCAGATGCTTCATGGAGAGGCACTAGTGAGAATCAGGGTTCAAAGGATTAAAAAAGTGAATTCTGGTGTCCATGGGCAATGGCAACAGAAGACACATCCACTCCAGCTGAGGGGAGCTCTTCAAATGCACCATTACACCCCTTTTCTTTTCTTTGCCATTCAGGGTACAAGTCTATTGAGTGGTGTCAACCACTGTTGGGGTGAGCTTTATTCCTTCAGTTTCCCACCTGTGCACCAACCATCATTGGAAATACCCACAGACACACCCAGGCAGCACTTTATTAATCACTAAATATTTCTTAATTTAGTCAAGCTGACTTATAACAATTAACAGGCACAGTGTGTTTGTGTGTTCAAAGGTCTAAAACAAATATAATAAAAATTTAGAAAGCCAAACAATGAGACTAGCAATATTTCAACAGGGACGAATGTAAAAGTTGAGAATATAGAAGACATGATTTATCAAGTTGAAGAAACACTATCACAGGAATTCATTCATATTCTGTGAGTCCTAGATCACAGCAATTGAGAAGCACAGCAGAATTATCAAAATAATGTTTTGGACACATTATGTAGTGCGTAGCATACAAAGAATTAAACTGTTTTCTTCAATATAAAAGTAGATTAGGTATCATATATCATAAGATATATGCTATACAATCTGTAGTATACTATTCTGCTATATGCTTCAAGCAGGTGAGTCATCTCCCCAAATTCATTAAAAAATGTTTTGAGTACATTAAACATTAGATTTCAATTTTTCAATGTTCATTGTATCAAAATATAGTTATCATTAGACAGTGAAACTGATGTTATTAATGGCCTCGCCAATTGAAATTTATTCTGTTCAAAGAAGAAGAAAATGTAATTGGGAGAAAAAATAAAAAATTCAAAGTGAAAAGAAAGAAATCCTTGTTGTAATATGTCAATCTACACACTTCAGACACCTTTTTATTTAACAATTAAAGCATATTTCCTCATTCATTACTTATGAAGATAGCAGAAACAAACTAAAAGAAAGTAATATATTGCTTACAAATGTTAATAAAACTTCCAAAGAAGATCAGCTTTGCGCAAGATAATACTTTAGGCTGTGAGAGATTCTGGCTTTTGTTCCTCTCCTTGGCTAAGCCCCCGACCAAAAAAATCCCATCAGTGTTGTACTACTGACATCATAGCCATTTCAGTTTATGCTGTCTTGGGCAAAGGAAAAAGTGTTGACAAGTAACAAATCATCCAGCAAATATCTCAAAGCATTTTGTTTTCAATACTTCTTGTGTATGCTACCTCTCCTATTTCCTTCTTTGCTTAAATTTATGTGAGAATACACATTTTAGAAGCTCAAATGAAATTGAAAAATATGTGAATATATAAACTTCAATCAATTATTTTCATGTATGGAATGGGGAAGTCAACAGGAAAACAGAAGAAAAGTTTTTAGAAACCCATGGATATGTTCTTTCTGGTACTGAAATTGCTGACTGGAACAAAATATACCTGGGAACATGGCTTAGTGCAGCTGGCAAAAGGCAAGGGAACAGTTATTTGAGTGGCAAACAGTAGAAGAGTCACACACTCATAATTACACACGCAGATGCTGGAGATAACCAGGTGGTCGGGACAAATATGAAGTTCAGCCAAGCTAATACAACGAAGAATTACATACTCAGATCCCTTTTTCAGCCTAAATTATCAAGATAGCATTTATAATCTCTTGTTTTTAATTTCGCTGTCCTCATTCACATTGAAGTAGAATACAAAAACTTGTATTTCTTGTAAGGTGAGATTATTTGCAATTTTACGGTCACATTGCAATTAGACTGTATGTGGTTAAGTTAATCTCTATCATGCACATATATCTTATATAGTTAATTGATGTGTGTACTTACGTTTAAATACATACAATGCCAGCCTTTCTAGCTGAAGGCACTGACTCTTTTCCCCTGGAAACAGATCTAATTCACAAATGAAAGGAGACAGACAGAAGGATCGGGGGCAGAATGAGAACTAAGAAAAAAAAAGAGAGAGTAAAAGGGTTACTGCGATTATTCTCAGTGTGTGGACGGAGTATACATTCTTCAAAAATATATAAAAGAACTTGATAGTTCATGCTGTGCTAGCAAGTGGCATTTTAATAGATATGTCAAGAGCATGAATTACTTGCTTTTGCATGGAGAGTCTTGTATGCCAAAATCTTTTTGTTTTGTGTATCTCTGCATGGTTACTAGTATGGTTTTGCACAGCCATACAACACAACAGAATTATTTTAAATTGAAAGGCTTCTGAGCTCCAGATTACCCTGAAGAAGGACTGTTATCCTCTCCTAGGGTTTACAGTACATTCAAAACTGCACCGTTCATGTGAAAAATATGGAAAGATCAGTTCGCCACTGTCAGTTGCTAGTGAGGCAATCTCAGCCTCTTCTGAGCATGACACATAGGCTGTCATGACAGAAATGATTCTCAAAGACAATTCCTCCGTCTTGTGCGGGGGCTCACTGACGCTGTGCACCATTTACTGGGTCCGCAGAGGAAGATCTAGGACAAGTCTATTGAGACGGTTGCTATTGTTACTGCTGTACTTAGAAACATTTACGCTCCAGTGACAATCTAGGGGTATCCCAACTGATAGCTTCAAAGTTTATTTTTGGGCTAAATGATCCCAACCAATAGCCTCAAAGTATATTTATTTCTAGATTAAATGCATTATTAACTTCAGTACTTTTGAGAATCAGACACAACTTAGTTAAAAAATCTAAATTATTTTCTTCCTAGAATGCATAATCTGTTAGAATTGGGAAGGATGGGTTGCTAGTAAAGACAAGGTTAAACAAATCAAAAATAAATTCAATGTAGTATGACAATCCTAGTGTATGAAATCAAATTCATTTCTTAAAATGAATATAGATATGGACAACTCAAATATCAATTCGTGTCCCACCATGAGCATGCACAGAAATTTTATTTTGAAGGCTTCCCTATTAAATGGATCTAAGAGCTTACAATTACCTTTCTTGCCTTGTTATCCACATATAATCCATGGCAAGCAGTAGACAAGTCACACTATGAGGTACGCCTTTAATCTAGACTTCTTTTGCTGTGGCACTTTCACATTAGTTCAAGTGTCCCGAAATAGAGAACTTAAAAGCAGGGACTGTGGCTCCACACGGCCCACTAATTGTCCATGATGAGCATCTTATGAATGAAAAGAGAAATGACAACAACCATAACTTCTGGGTTAACCAGCCAGGGCAATGATTGTTCCTGGGAAATGAGTCTCTAGAGTACTGGCACCTCTGAAACAAATGAGTTAGCTGGACCAGTATTGTACTAATTTATGTTTTTACTGAAGGACAATCAGAGCAGTATATTTAAGACTTGAAATATTTTTTAAATTATAGAAGTTTAAATTTCTGAGAGCAGAGCACCTACTTCAGTGCCTATGTCTGAAAAAGGTTAGTCTATCAGATTCAAGAGAATATATGACCTACTCATGATATCTGATTTGAATTATGTAGGTGACATTGTTAAATCGTAATGTTCTTATCCAATTTGTAAAAGACAGCATTATGTTATTTTTATTTTACATTTTAAATTGAGATGTTTTCAGCCTTTCAGTTTAATTCACACAGTAGGAGTTCCGTGAGGTCTGCGGTTTTTGTTTGTATTATTGATCTTTTTACCCTCAGCAACCAGAAAAACATTGGGCAGGCACATAATAGATAATTCATAAATATACATCTGGGGACAAATACACATAATAGTTTTCTTTCTTTTTTTCCTGTGGAAGATAAAGCATTGCTCTCTGAAGACATTTTTCTATACATTACCATTCTTCATTTCTCCTCATTTACCTCAAAATGAGATTAAGTAGAGTGCTTGAAAAAACATAAAGTAAAATTATCAAGTTTTTCAGTTTATAAAATCCAGATTAAGAATTCATTTTAGTTGCCAGTGACAAAAACTTAAAGATTTAATAAGTAACTAAATTACTGTTTCTGAAAGCTGACAAAAACCCAATGATGTATTCTTCAGGCATGGCTGAGTAGGTGCTTTGCTTTTATCCTCAGGGATCAGACTAATTTTTCTTTCTTTTTCTCTTTCTCTCTTAGTGCTTTTCTTCTGTTTTTCCATTCACTGACATTATTCTCAGGCAGACATCTGCATATGGGTTCAAGATGCCCAGTGGCATCTCCAGACTTATATACCATTACATTTTGAGTTTCCAGAGGAAGAGAAAATGTGTTTCCTGATATATCACCCTAGTAAATGTCCCAAGGATAAGATGCTCTCAACATAGTGTAAGAGTGCATTCCAGTATCAATCACAACAATGCAAAGACTGAATCTAATCATCTTTGGGCTGAAGGCCAAATCTGGAGCAAGGTTAGCTCCACCCACAAACTAGGTAGATTAAAAAACATCTTTAACCACTCACCGCCTGCAAAACCCTGCAAAAAAATCATCCACTTTCTTCTTCAGCCACATTGCATACCTTTCTCTCCCTGGATCCTCATATTCTGTGTTCTGAGTAAGTTTACATTTTTTTTCTTCAAATACATCAGGCTCTTTCAGTGATGAAATCTTTGACTGATTCTGTTCTCCCCTGTAGATTATTCTTCCTTCTCTTCTCTTTATGCTGACTAGTTAGTGTTTATCCCGCCTCTCTCCGTTTAGCAGTCACTGTAGCTTAGAGAAAACTCTTCGCCACATTTCTCTCTTTAGAAAGGTATATGCCTCTTTTCAAAACTTTCCTTTACTCTACTCCTTTTCCAAATATTTGTTGACTTTTGACCCCTTCACCTACACGAGGGCAGCAGTAACGTATAATGCCATCTTCCTTAACTCTGCTTTAGGATGTGACACACCAACTGTCCGAAACAAGGTAGACACGAAACAACATTCATTAAAGAGTAAAAGAAAGTAGGAAAAATGCATGAACGGATTAAATAAGTGTCTCATAATTGAAGAATGCAGAGGGAGAAGAAATTATCCAATAAAGGGCCCAAGAGTAAACATACTCTGCAGTCCCTTGTAGTTTCGATAGCATATTCATAGGGTTTTGTTTGCTTGTCTGCCAGTCTGTTTGCATTTTTGTAGACGGTGAGGTCATTGGCTGGAATTACCCTGTGGGACAGTTTGCTGACTGCTGAATTAGCATGCTAATAATTTACGTCGTTTCTGTGACTGTACTGACTAATGAATCGCTACCTTCAACTCTTATCTTTTGCTTTGCTTTTTTGTATCTCAGCACTGTACATATACTCAGCATTCTACATATACTCTCTGTTTTCAAAACTGAATTCAGAATCATACTGTTGTGTTTCTTTCTCAAACCTGTTTGGTGCCAACTTTTTCTCTCTCTAAACTGCCTGAGCATTTCTTCAGTCCCCTGCTGTCTGTGTCACACTGTGCCTCTCTCATGCTTTTGCCAAGTGCACCTGCTGCCCTGGCTTCTTATTTCTGCTTCACATTTTATGCTGTATCATCATCCCTTCTGCTTTCTGCCTTGTGTGGTGTGATAATTCAATACACGGAGAAATTTTATTTAAAACAAACAAAGTAAAACAGACATTCCTATACTGGCACTAGGGAAATAGCGTGTCATCTGCCCTCTATAAGGAGCTCTTTGCCTGAGGGGCATAACCATCTCACCCAGGTAAGCTTTTATGAATGTGGAAATTGTACTGCAACCTACAAATTGCTGTTGTCATTCTAGACCCTCTCCCTGTCCTTTTGCTGCTCTTAGTTCTATAGTTCATTTTAAATCTTTTCTTTCCTTGTTGTATCTACTTTGTCATGTCCTCTTCTGGAATACAACAACCACTACTGCTGTGAATGGGAAATAGAATATCTTGTGTATTATTTCCTTGCCCCTGCAGTTTCTCAGGGTAAATTCCAGGGTCTTTCATCTTAAAAAAAAAAAATCCTGCACATCACATGTAATGCTTTTAATATAATTAGAGGGTAATAAGGCAAAACCTAAAACATGTACTCCTATAAATATTTTCAATGCCATATTTCTAATTGTGTAATTTTTAAAATAAGGGAAAATGCTACAACTTAATAAGTGAGGGTGTGACATATTCAAAAGTTAAAAGTAGAGAGTATCTGTTACCATATCACTCAAAAAGTCTGACAAACTATGGGGAAAAAAGCTTTCCAATACTTGATATGGACATTTATAAATATCATAAAGTTTAATGGTCCTTCATGAAATATGAGAAATGCTATTTTAAGATAAAAATTACATACAGTAAAATGCAGAGATCTAAAATTGACAGGCACCTATAAGCGCAGAGAATTTTGTAAGAACCAACACGATTCAGACGAAACATATATCTGTCCCTCCAAATGTTCCTTTGTACCCACTTTCAATCAGTCCCACTCCTGTTTTAAGTCAAAGCTGTTCCTATTTCTTCTCCACAAATTAGTTTTGTTAGCTCTTGAATTTCATATGAATGTCAATACAGACTATGTAACCTTTGATTCTGACTTTTTGGCTCCCCTGTATGACATTCATATATGTTTTGTGTGTGTGTGTTTTTTGTTTCTTTTTTTTTTTTTTTTTTTTTT